TTTTTTTTTTTTTTTTCTTTTTTTGCTGCAGAACCCAAGGACTTTGGATACAACATGAGGCGAAGCAGGGAATGGGTGACCTATTCAGTCACCTCCCTGTCAGGGTCCGCAGGGGCTGGATTAGGAAACTGGATCCAAAATGTCCTTTTCCCTGAGCACGTGGAGCTGAGCTGACTCCAAGCTCCCCGTACACACGAGCCGGAGAAGCTGAGTTAGCAGGGCTGTGTTAATTACCCCCTGCACGGGGCTCCTCCTAAACCTTTCGAGACAGTGAAATGGGCCATCTGCTGCTGCGACAAACTCATTTCCTTAATGACACATTTCTTACATTCCACTCGAAGCCGGCGACAGCGATTCTGAAGAGCCCGGAGCTCTCGCTGCTGGCCAAGAGCGAGGTCCCGATCGGGGGGAGCAGAGGAGGGGCTGCTGCAGCTGCCCAAAAGCTGGACCCCCACGGACCAGCTTTGGTGCTTCCCCACCAGCACAGCCCGAGGGGATAATTCAGGAGGAGGAGGGGAAAAATAATGCCTGAAAGGGAGCAACAGGGCATAGACCTCCCTTCAGCTTCTGAAACAAAGCGTGGCCAAAGGGCCCCCGTGTGGGATTTTTTTTTTTTTTTTTTTTGGCAAGAAAATCCCTTGATAGCTAAAACTCAGGTAGCTGTGAGTCCTAGGAACCAGCACGCCCATGATCCAGCTCATCTGGACATCTCTGGTGGGTTTGGGATGGACTTGAGGAGGATGAGGAGTGTTGATGTGTTTGGCCACTCACCCTGCCCAGAGGTGGCCCCGTGCAAGGAGCCAGTACCAGACATGTACAGCCAGTTTGTCAGGATTGAACCAAAATAAGAAGGAAAAATCAAACTTGGGACACCCCTGATTTGTTGGAGCCACCAGGAGCACGCAGGGATGGTGGAGATGGATGTTGGACTCCAAAGGATCCCTCCCCAAGCTCTGAGCACCCTTCGTGCGAGGAGAAGGGAAATGCAGCTCCAAGGACACAAATCTTGGCAGGAGGAGGTGGGCAGGGTAGGGGAAAGTGCGGGCAGCGGAGGAAGCAGGGAGGGGATTTGGTGAGAGGGACAGTGGTGCCCACGATGTCCCTGTGCCCAGGGTGCCACAAGAGGGACAGAGAGGTCTCTACTTACTGGCCATGTCTCTGCCAGCAAGGAAATAGCCACTGACCATGTTCCTGCTCACCCTGCAGGGAGGTGACTAGGAGGAGGAAGGATCAGCACAGAGCACCCTTTCCCTAAAAACCCAGACAAGACACCAAGACCCAAGTCTCCCAGACAAGAAGCCAAGAGGCAGGAGACTGGGTAATTAATGGGAGCTCTGCGACTCGAGCTTAATTACACGAAAGGGTGGCTGCACCCCAGGAACCTGGAGCCGTGACTGGCAAAGGAAGCTCCCTGAGAGGGGGAAGCGCGAGGGGATGTGCCTGTCCTTGTGCCATCCCCAGCAGACAGGTTGGCTAAGAGGGCCCAGCTTTGGCCAGGATTTGTCTGCAAGGCAGAATAAATGGGTTTGGAGAGTCTTTGTGTGAAGCTGCTGTGGCTGAGGGTTGTTTCTGTTACCAGGGCATCTGGCTCAACACCCAGCACACAGAGGGCAGGGGAGGGGGGTTGTGCTGATTCCACCTTGTTCCCAGGCTATAGGAGCCTTTTATAGGGGCTGAAAGGGGCAGAGCAAACCACAGAATCCCAGAATGGTTTGGGTTGGAAGGGACCTTAAAGGTCATCTTATTCCATCCCCCCTTCCAGTAGCCCAGGTTGCTCCAAGCCCCATCCAACCTGGCCTTGGACGCTTCCAGGGATGGGGCAGCCACAGCTTCTCTGGGCAACCTTTGCCTCACCCCCTCACAGGGAAGAATTTCTTCCCAATATCCCATCTAACCCTGCTCTCTGCCAGTTTGAAGCAGTTCCCCCTCATCCAAAGTCCCTCTCCAGCTCTCCTGGAGTCCCTTTAGGCTCTGCAAGGGGCTCTCAGGTCTCCCTGGAGCCTTCTCTTCTCCAGGTAAACCCCCTCCAGCTCTCCCAGCCTGGCTCCCCCCAGCACGACACACAAAATACACAAGTGAAAACTGCAAGAAAATAATGGAGGCTTTCACTGAAAAGCCAGCCCTGAAAAAACCCCACCATTCAAACAAGAAAGAAGAAATGAATAAGAGAAAAAAAGACTCTTACCCATATTCCCACGCCAACGTTTAGGGAAAAATAAGCCACTACCACAACAAGGTCAGCAAGGTTGAACTGCTGCGAGGGGGGAACGGCTCCAGCAGTGGAATTGCTCTCCATCATCCCTCTGCCTCCTGCTTCATCCTCACTCAATCAGTAACTCGTCAGCAGCCCGAGGGCATTTATCATTAATCAACCTGGCAGCAGGAATTGCCCTTCCAAAGGTGCCCGGGTGGGCAGCATGGGCTCTGCTGCCTCCTGCCCCTCTGTTCCCCCAGGAGCTGAAACATCTCAATTTTGGGTGCCTCGTAAATGAACAGGTACAAAAAACATCCCACTGATGCTGTACAGGCTTCGCTCCTTCCCCACCACTCCAGTGAAAAGCCAAAGGACCAGCAATCCAGCCTGATGGATGCAGTTTGTCCCCGAATTCTTGAGGTCTCATCAATACCAGAACTGCTTTGCATGAAACGAGGCAAGGCTGGGGGTTTGCTGTGTTAGAGAAGTGACTGAACACAGGAGTTGGGTGAACAGCAGCGAGGGCTGACCAGGAGAAACCCTCCCAGAGGGGATCACAAATCCTGGAATCATTTAGGCTGGGAAAGCCCCCCCCAAGATCATCCAGTCCAACCATTAACCCAGCACTCCCGTGTCACCACTAAAACCACATCCCCAAGTGCCACATCTACATACAGCTTTTAAATCCCTCCACCACTGCCCTGGGCAGCCTGTTCCAACACCTGACAACCCTTCCCGTGAAGAAATTTTTTCCAATATCCAAACTAAACCTCTCCTGGTGCAACTTGAGGCCGTTTCCTCTTGTCCTGTCACTTGTTACCTGGGAGGAAAGACCACCAACTGTCTGCACTCTCCTTTCAGGGAGCTGTGGAGAAAGGAAGACATTGTTATTCCCTAAAGGCCAACACGGAACAGACACAGGAAACCACCTCTGAATTCCACGTTTTTGGGGTATTTAGCCATCAGTTTGCTGGCTCATTCCCAAGTGGCAGCACGCTTCCACAAGGTCTCACTAATAAAATAAACACAGTGCAACTAATGTGCCCGTCATAGAGTCAGCTCAGCTCAGCGTTCCTCCTCCCTTTGAAGGAGCCGCCGCAGCAGCAGGAGCAGCTCCGGGAGAGGAGCCGACCTTCCCCCTCGCTGCCCCGCTGGAATGTGACCCACATTAACACATCCAAAGGACTGACAAGTGCGAATACATCAGCCTGGTGTATCCATTAATATTAAGGAAAACACCTGCTTCTATCCTCAGAAGTCAATGAACCCTCCCAAAGCCCTTGGAAGTTTGTCTCGAGCAGAGAATTGGTGTCAACAAAGGTTAATTTTCGCTTGTGAACACGCCAAAAGTTTTATACTCATTTGTAGGACACGATGGGGAGATTAAACCAAACCACCTCTAAATGCTCTAAATTCCACCTCTGTTCTTTCAGCAACAGGTGAGGAACTTCAAGTCTCTGGGACTGGAAGCCTTCTGGAAGCTGCCCGGCCATTCCACCCACACCTGCCCAGGGATGGTCGGGAAAACAAACCTGAACAAGTTCAGCTCTGCACTACAGAGTGATTTTTTTAACTCATCCACGCATTCAGGCCAAGCAAGAAACCTCAGAAAAACCCAGTTTACCTGTGATGAGCTGATTTGGATTTTACCAGCTTGAATTTCCACTCCCCACAATATTCCAAGTCACAGAATCACTGAATGGTTTGGGTTGGAAGGGATCTTAAAGATTCCTCCCCCCTGCCATGGGGGGAGGAATTAACCCTTCCATTAACTCAGGATGCTCCAATCTGCCCTTGGACACTTCCAGGGATGGGGCAGCCACAGCTTCTCTGGGCAACCTGTGCCAGTTTCAAGTCCCTGTTGCTCCTGGATATCCAGCTGCAACACCTGCCAGTATTTAAGGGGACAGAGTTTGGAAGACAAGGGAGCATCACATGAACATTTTTAGAAAGCTCACACAAAACAAGTCTTTATTCTTTATCGCAGAAAATAAATACAGGTGCATATTCCATATGCTTTTCTATAAAAGCACTCCTACAAAATCACTGAACTGCGTACAACAGTACAACCTTTTTGGCTTTCAGAATGCAAATATTATACAGTCACTTCATTTTGTTATCGTTTAAAGCACTTGTAGCAAGCAGCTTTGGAAAAGGAATGCTTAATTTAGAAGCCAATTTCTTGCCTCAAGTGTTTTGTGGGATTTTTCCATCGTGTATAGTGCAACTAACCTAAAAGCAACTAGAACAGTTTTTTTTTTGTAAAATGTTTATTCCCACCCACCCCAACCCTTCCCCGAAAAAAAAAAACCACCAAAAACCCTGCAAAGAAAAAAAAGAAAAAAAAAAAAAAAGCTCTTCAAAACTGTTCTACCTTGATACTTAAACCAAGAGAAAACAAGAAGTGGCTCAATGGAAAGATTAAGGTAAGCACGATGCTTCACAGCTCGTTCTCTGTTCGCTTCCAGTTTGGCCCGGGGTGATTCTTTAGAGTAAGAAGCATTAATCATCCAGTCCTATATTCCTGAAAAGGTACGACATGGACTCCCCGTTGTGGATCCTGCGAATGGCTTCCGAGAGGATCATGCTGATATCCACAGTCTTGATTTTAGGGCACTGGAGTTTCTGTATTTCGTGTGGAATTGTGTTTGTGACAACCACCTACAGGGAGAAAAAAACGATCAGGAGGAAGTAGCTCCATTATGTTTTCCACCTTCCCTATTGGAAGCGTGAAAGGGAGTTTCACAGATCCTATCAAGCCACCATTGCTGGTAAGATTTGACATTAATCTCAGGGTCAAAATCCTAGGAAAAGCCACACGTGGCCATGGATACTAATGGCACTGTCCTTCCTTCCTTCCATTCTGCCACACAGGGCCAGTGGAAGGTATAAAAATATCCCCCACGCTGAGGGGAAAGCTCCGCTGACACCAGCAGTCCAGCATCTCACCACTTCCCACGTTTCCCTCTCCTGCTATAGCTCAAGGACATGGAGATGTTTCCTTAAAAAAAAAAAAAAAAAACACAACCCAATCATTTGATCAGGATTCAGAACCCACACTCACCTCATCGATGGCAGACTCCTCGATCAGCCGGGGAGCGTCTGAAGACAAGAGCCCGTGGGTGGCCATGACAAAGATCTTGTAAGCCCCCCTCTCCTTGAGGGTCTCGGCCGCAGCCAGGAAGCTGTCGACGTCATCGATGATGTCATCCTGCCAAAATACCACCGAGTCACCAAGGCCTCACACAGGTCACGCAGCACTCAGACTGACAGGGCAGCCTGAGCAAGTACAACAGAACCCAGGCTATCAGAAAATTGCCCTTTCTTATGACAAGCCCAGAGATAACACTCTGCTTTAGGGACGCCACGACTGAATCACACAATTATGGAATTGTCTGGGTTGGAAGAGATCTTAAAGATCACCCAGTTCCACCCCCTGCCATGGGCAGGGACACCTTCCAGTATTCCAGGTTGCTCCAAGCCCCATCCAACCTGGCCTTGGACACTTGCAGGGATGGGGCAGCCACAGCTTCTCTGGTAACCTGTGCCAGGGCCTCCCCACCCTCCCAGGGAAGAATATTTTCCTAATATCTAATCTAACCCCACTCTGTCAGCTTAAAGCCATTCCCCTTGTCCTGTCACTCCAGGCCCTTGTAAATAGTCCTTCTCCATCTCTCTTGTCAGCTCCTTCAGGCCCTGGAAGGCCACAGTTTGGTCACCCCGAGCCTTCTCCTCTCCAGGCTGAACAATCCCAATTCTCTCAGCCTTTCCTCACACCAGAGGAGCTCCATCCCTCTAATCAGTCTCTAGACTTGCTCCAACAGGTCCACGTCCATCATCCCTGCTCGCTAAAACTCATGGACAGAAACGCAGTGACTTCCCCTTCTCTGACGTGCTCCTGACACCCCTCACCCTCAGGTAAGCACTGAACGAAGTTTCACCTGCCCTGCTCATGGAAACAAGGTCCAAACTCTGCTTTTCAGCGTGGATCCCTTCACAGTGTGCTCAATCCAGCCCATGGAATCACAAGCTCACCAGCAACCCAAGGTCAATGGCTGATACAGAATATTTACTTGATTTATTCAACTTAAACATGTTTAATCTCATTGATGAGAAGTGAGGACATCTTACCACGATGATAGCTATTCTTCCTCCCACATCTCCAACAACTGTGATGGGTGGCTTTTCCTTGGGAATCAGCACTGGTTAAGGGCAAATGGGTTTAGAGAGGTAGAAAGGAGAAAGAAAAGAGAAAAGTAACATGATTTACTTTAATAATGGAAATGTCTGCTGGGTCACCACCGTTAAGAGAGAGACATGGATGAACAACTATTTCAACAGCATTACTGGGAAAATCAGCAGGATTTTAATACATAAATGATCTTTTTCAGTTTAGTTAAAATATTAACTCCATTCATTGACACTCAAATTGTTAACCAATTCAATGAATTCTCAATTTTAGCAGAGAAACAAAGTGACTGGCAGACACCACCAGTTCTTTTCTGATGGTCCATCACTGCCAGCGCCATTCCCCCCTCCAAAAAAAAGGCCAGGTAACACTTTCCCACACACACTTACTTACTGGGGATCTCCAGACTGGGGTGAATCGCAGCTACGTATTTGGCTGTAGGTGGCGAGTGCCGACCATCCACCATGTCAGACTCTGCGTCCTGGGCTTCCCCGTGGATCACAGCGATTCCCAACCGCAGGCGCTCGGCAAACGACTGTGCCCTGCAGGGAGAGGGTTCAAAAACACCAGGGCTGTGTTAAATTTAAAATCATTCACCTGCATACAATCCTAACCTATTTCTGTTTTATTTCTAGCGTTTCAGAGGAAAATGGAATGATCCTAAAATTTTAGGAGAACACACACGGAAGGAACCACTTGCCCCTTAATATCTTGACTCCATCAGGTTTGTGAGTCAGAACAAGCCTGGAAGTGACCAAATGGGCCTTGAGGCAACGGGATAAATGTTGCAAGTCACATCATTCTGATTAGTCCCTTCTGCTTTGCCCAACAGCCAAAAACCATTCCCTAGCCTTCAGCATCCTTGGGATCCCAGTGCTTTAGGAGGTCTCATCTAACGGTAACCACGAACAGTCTTGATGTCTGGATTGTCTACATTTAATAGGAAAAAAAAATATTCACATGAAAAAAAGTGTTCACCTATTTATTTTTAGCACTAAATAAAGACAATATCCCTGACCTGCTGACACAACCTGAGATACCCTGTGGAAAAGAGGGATCCAGACGATCACTCTGCCTGGCAAACCACACTTCAAGTTGAACAGCCTGGATTTTATTATTAGCTGACATAAAAGTTCCTTCACAGCGCAGCATTTCTTTGACTAAAATTAGGAATTTCTGGAAAGAAGTGTGAGGTTAGCTGGGGGAGTGGGGAAGGCAGAGAGCCAGGAGAACAGGAATTCACAGACAGTGCTTGTATCCCAGATACTGGATAGCAGCAAGGGTGAATTAGCACATCTATCCCACCTTGCACACCCAAAGTTTGGGATCCTGCCCAAGCCACCCCATCTCACCTCCACTGGTCCAAGTGAATCCAGCACATCTAAACTGAGTCAGTCTGCTCTACCATCAGCACCTCAGACCTGTGCCTGAATCACCTCCTCTATCCTTAAGCCTTGTTTCACTATCCAAACAATCCAGAGTCCAGAGAATAATTTGCCCATCATGATACTCAGTTAATTAAAAATCTTCCACCCTGTGGTTATCACACAGTTACAATATTCTTGCAAGTAGTTAATTGGAGGTAATTATTATTCCAAACATTTAGAGTTATGACTTAGCAGGCATAATCCTATCAATAAAAAAAACATAATAATTACATTAAAATGCAATATTAAACTGAACAAAGTTCAAAGTAAGAGCAAAATAATTTATTAATTTTCCAGTGAGCTCAGAAACCGCAGAAACATTCTGAGCTCCACCAAGCACAGGTTCTTTTTCACGAGCAGGCATTCATCACAAGTATTTTCCTGGATTGTTTTCAGCCTGGATTAGGCTGAAATGTCCAATCACCCTTTCCCCAGTACAATGCACCTCTTCAAATACTGCCCTTGAAAGCTCGTAGGTCCACATGAAGACGTTTAACAACACAGCTGTGGGAACATCTCCTCCCCAAATCCCTGTGTGGGCAACTCCTCTGTCTGGTCAGTTTTAACAGATTATTTGTTGGCATCCATCGACAATTACTGGGTGAGTGTTAAAATGCTTCAACAAAAGCCTGTCTACACCCAAGCGGCAACACTGACACCGTGGAAAAGAAATGGGAGAGGAACAAATGGAAAATGAGTGGCCAAAACAAAAGAAATCACAAAAAGTACTGCTGGAGAACAAAGATGACACAAGTTGAATTGCTACATAAAATAACAAAAACACAAAGTATCACAAATTCCTTGGCACAAAAGTCTAAATAACTCTTCAACAAACTCTTGGTTTGTCACCACAGCGAATAACAGCATCTCTTAAAACCATTGTCCAGCTCTTACAGCACCTGCTGACAGCAGTGTAATTCCAGAGAGTTTGGGAACAGTCAACTAAAAAGCTGCATGGATTAAGAACAGTCATTCAACCACAAGGACTTCACAATCAGAATCTTCTCGAATATCAAATCCTGTTTCACCATCTGCATTTAGGATCTGATCAACCATGTTCTTATAGTTATGCTCACATTAAGAAATCCCCTCGGATTAATGGCATTACATTTCCAGCCATTTTTCTTCAATTACAGCAGGAATTTTATAATGTAAATGCACACAAATATGACATGATTAAAAACCTTCTTTATCATGAGCACTGCATTGATTTACCTCATCCTCTTGTTTGTTTTTTTAACTCTCCTTGTTTGTTTTCTTAACTCTCCTTAGACTTATTGTGATTACAGCGATGATGTAAAAACTACACAGCTGACAAGGCAGAACTGGGAGGGGTTTGAAGGCTGCATCTTCTAATTATTGGATATCTGTCCTTCACTGGGTCCTAAGAACAAAATCCCGACAGAGATTTCCTGCTCTAAGGCAAGAGAGCAGATCTTACCCACCTCTTTGCAGACGCAGGAGATTTGGCCACAATTACAGCATTCCTGTAGTCTGGTATCTGTAGTAAATAACAGATAGCAATGTCCACTTCATATCTTCAGACAAATTTTAAACTCAGTAAGAATCAGAGAACTTTTATTTTGCCAGAAGAATTTTAAGCGTCCAACATTTTCACCTAAGAAAGCAACCTCAGGAATTCATGGTAAGTGATCAGAGTTGACAGCTCAGTAAAAACAGGTATTTAGACAATTCAGATATTGGAACTGTACCTTTCATAACCCCCATGTTATAGTACAGATTACAGAAAAGTAACTGCTTTAGAACGTCAGGGCTAGGCAGACAAGTGTTGAAAGAAACAGGAAACCATCAAAATTAAAGTTTCCTGTTCAACCTTAATTGTCTTTCATCGCTTGAAAACAGCATTTCACCCGTTTCCTATTGCTTTACAGAGCACACCGAGAACTGTCACACCTCTCCACCACAAAACACCATTTCTATGGACAATCAGAAGGGATAAAAGTTCCATGTTCACTGCACTCTCCTGGAGTCACAGTCTCACAGTGCTGCAAACTGTTCCCCACACTGACCAGCGTGAGGAGATGCTGCTGCAAACCTCAACAGCACCAGAGGGAGAAGGCCAGGAAGTCTGGGTTTCCTTCTGAGCTTTGACAGGGACTTCAGTCACGTTTCACAAACACAACCTGCTCCTCAGTTTGCTGCCCCTGCCCCACTCTCACACTGGTTTTTCACTCCAGACTCCTGCTCTCCGTTTAACCACTATTTTAGTCCCCATCTCTCAAAACTTTCTTATCCTCATCTCTATTTTCCCTGCAAACAGTGACTCTACAGACTTATCTTGCCTTGTCTGTAACTTCTGAAGTCTTCCACTGTTCACACTTCCACTCCTCCTTTCCACAGTATCCTGTGCTCTCTCTAATATCTCATCTTACCCCATTCCTTGCCAACTCAGGATTTTCCTTCACTGTGCTTCCCTGGGATGATCCATCTCTGTGGAGAGCAGCTGAAAGAGAACCTGCCTGGCCTTCTCTCCAGTCCTCAGCCAAGCAAAGTCCTACAGAGCAGGCCCATCCTCAGACTCCCAGTGTTAAGGGACCTGCAGACTGATCTGTTACAGATGTCATTTCACAAATTTGGGGGGCTGGCACCCTGCCATGCTGCTCACCACCTTGCTGTCAAGATGTCAAATACCTGTTTCAGAGCACAGAAACAACTGGGTTTCCTGCAAACACAGATAAGGTACAATCTTTTCCTCAAACACACAAACTGCACAGGCTGAGCATTTCCAAAAGCTCTCCCCGAAACGAGCACGGGAAAGAAAAAAAATTTGGGCAAGGACCTAATCGACTGAAAACAAGAACTTCCCTGAGGACGTTGTCAGGCAACGTTAACAACCCACAATGTTACCAACTCCACCTCTAACACTGGGAATTCAGCATGTTCTGTCCTTCACAAACACTTTGTTATACAAGAGGCTACAAAGATTAACATGACGGAAGGTATGGACAAGGCAGGGCCTGTCACTCGACATAATAAAGGCTTTGATCTTGTTCAGACACCATTGCCTCATTTTTCCCCTGCCAAATTACCAAATTTGTTCTCTCAGCTCTTCAAAAATGAAGTCAGAAAGCCAGAAATGTCATCCACAAGGCAGCAAGATATCAACAACTCCTTGTAACAAAGAGCTACATCACTCTGGGATTAACTTGTACGCAAAGGAAAGAGAAGACACCAAGTACCCAACATTTTCTAAGCAATACGGAGGAAACCCAACAAATTATTTTCATGTCACATGAATTTCACTGATTGGACTGTCTTCATCCCACAACACTGAGTGGGATGAATACTGAATTCCTCCTGAGCAGCACTGGATCACAGTTTTAAGATACTGTAAATGACCTGGCTGGTCAAGGCACTTGCCAGTGTAGATCCCAAGTGATCAGATCCAGTCAGTCAACTCTAGTTTTAACAAGTCCCCTCATGGACGAGCAGAGGAATGAACTGAAAGTGTTTTTTAAGACTTCTCTGCACATCCTTCAGATTCCCTCTGTAAATGTTCATTTGTTAGACTGCACAGCAGCGCCAGACCCAAAGCTGCAACAATTCCTAGTAAGCCATTAAAAGCTCATGAATCAAAACGTGCTTCAAGACCAAACCAGGACCACAATCTTGCTGTCGACTATAAACCACACACTGTAGCAACATATAAAGGCACAACCTCTCTTGTTTCTGCATAACTTGGTTTTCCACTCTTTTTTTAACTTAGGAAGTCCTTACAATGTGCAACACTTCTCCCCTGGAACACAAGATGAATGACTGTGGCAAAGCCAGAGCCTGGGGTTTTGTTCTGCCACCCTCTTTGACTCTGTTAACCCAAAGAAATAAATAAAGAGAGTTTCAAATGGTAACTGATCCCCCAAACAGATTTTAACACTGTCATAACAAAATCATGTGGGTTTGGGTTTTCTTAGGGGGGTGGGGCATGTTTTGTTTTGGTTGTTAAATTGGGGCATTCATATCTCTATTAAAAAAAATAGCTTGGAACCAAAAGTAAGAGTGAGCTCAACCTTTTCTCTCACCAGGAAGAAAGCATTTGCTTTATTCCAAATTATCATTAGTCAGAGGCTTAACGTGTATCTTATACCTACAATTATCCTTTGCACAATTTGTACGGATGAATCCACCAAGTAGCCCTTCTCAAAGCACTTGTAAAAATAAGATGGAGAAATGGAAGCTCAGAACGCCCCAAGTTAAGCTGCTCAAGTCAAGACACGCTGAACTAACAGTGGGTGAGATTTCCACACAAGAAATCACTTGGGCTTGCTCTCAGAGCGTGATCAATAGGCCCTCTCTCCTAGTTTACAATTCCCAAAGTGGCTGTTATCATCAGACATTCATTACACCCACACAAGCACTCCATCCGATAAACGTCAAGGAAAGTGGGAACAGGAAGGGAAGAGGACATCAAGAGCATAGAAATTCTAAATTTTTTTTTTTTTTCAGTATTAGGGGAATATATCTCAGAAGGCAGAGCAGCATTGCTGCACGGGGAAAAAAAACACCAGCTCTCCATGGAAGTAAATGTTAAGCACGTGGGGAAGAAAATAATCAACTGCCCCAACACCATTCCCTGCCCCAAACTGATCCTTTCCCCTTAAAGTTCGGTTTGAAGAGTTAATCTTTTCAGAGGAATTTGTTTCAGATGCCTTGAGACATGACAGAAAAGGTAATTTAAAAAAAGCAACTGTAACAGCAGGCCTTCCTCACCTCTTCTTGGATGTACTGCAGCAAAAATGGGGAGGCTCTCAAGTTATCAACTGGAATGTTGAAGAAGCCCTGAATTTCCTTCTGATGGAGATCCATGGTAATAAGGTGAGTTAGTCCTTAAAAAAAAACAAAACAAGGAACAAGACAGAGAGAGAAGCACATCAAGAAAAGGAAGAAAGAAAAATAAAGACTGTCTTGTTCTAAGTTTCACTGAAGCTTGTCCAGAAAATCTCCAAGCTGCACAAGAACATAACTCTCAGTGAAAGTACATAACAAATTAACCACGTCCCTCCTAAGCACACGGGCATTAACATGTTTTGAGACTTCTACAGTGTTTTTTTTCCAAGAAGCTCAGAACACTCCTCATAAGTGGCTCAGTAGTGCCACACTGAGGCAGGTAAAGATCCTTCTCCACGGGACAAAATGGAAGCACTCATTTGTCCTGTGGCACAGACCCTGGCTCACTGCAGTCCCGAACTCCTGGAAAAGGGGCCCAACTCCTAAACATCAAAACCCACTTCTCTCAAAATAACAAACCAGCTCACACTGAGTCTGTTATGAATGCCTATATTTTTCCCAGGGATGGGAGCAAAAGAAAAGGAGCAGAAAATGTGCTGAAGGCTGTGGAAATGAATAGTCTCATTCTCCCACATCGTCTCAAACGTAAAGGACAAAGTGCATTCATCCAGCAGGTAAAAAACAGGCCAGAAATGACAATGCACAACTGTTCAAGAGTGTTAGAAACATAAAGAATGGTATTAAGAGATGGGATACCACAGCAGCTGAGCCCAGCACACTCATTCTGCCAACTCAGTAGGACTCAGTGTAAAATGGCTGCTTCAAGTTTGGGTTTTTTATGAACTCACCGTTCAGAAACGTTTCTAATTACATTCTCTTTTTCATGTGGGTTTTAAACACATGAAAAACTTGGCAGTTATTTTTAAACAGTCTCAATCTGTGCACGGACCTCTCTAAACCTGGAAGGTGAGAGCAGGAACCCCCCTTGCCCTGAGAATTTCAGAACAGCCCCCACTCTTACCAGCTTTGCACATCATCGAGGCCAGTAACTTGGAGACAATGGAGCCCCTTTTCCTCATCTTGCACTGTTTGCTGTAGGGGAAGTAGGGGATCACCCCAATGATGCTTTTGGCACAGGAGGTTTTACAGGCATACACCATGATCAGCAGCTCCATGATCGTGGTATTCACATCCCTGCAACGAGAAACAGCCGCTTCTGCACCCCGAGCACAAAGATCCTGTGTTTGGCACAGCATTTATACCCATCCCAGGAATTTCATGCCAGGGGAACTCAAAGAATGGTGACTGAGCCAACCTCACTGAGCTTCCAGCTCTGCACTTCAGGATGGCAACTGCCCTGGGCCCAGCATTTGAGTTCTTCACCAGAATTACACTTCTTTACTTTTTTCCCTCAGCCGTTTTGGACAATTCAGCAGTTTTTGTTGGACAGTGTTCTTGTAAAAAGTAGTCCATAATTTACCCCCAATATCGCTTTCTATTGTCCACAAAACAAATTATATGTATTTTTCCATATAGATATGCTTTTAAAAAAAAATATTTTGTACTTTACAACATATTCTTCTCTTGTTAAGCCAAGAGCAGGCTCAATACTTAACAGTCAGCATCTGTTCTCTAAGAGAAGCGATCATCAACTAAGATCTATTATTTCTGCTGCCATTCAAGAAAGAGTCTTAGCATTTGTAAAGTTCACTGAAAAGATGCTGTTTCCTGAATCGTGGGACACACTGCCCAGGAAATTTTCCTCCTACATTTACAGCTTTGTGATAGAGCTATAGATTGGCAACTGAAGAGGGAAAAATTTAAAGAGAATGACATAAGGAAAAGAATACACTTAGGGAAAGAATGCAGGGACCCAGGGGAATATTTCATTGATATATTCACTTAAAATTAAAATAGAAGTTTCTTTATGCCAAAAAAAAAAAAAAAAAACCAAGACAAATAACAACAAAGAAAAGACTCTGTCTAGTTACTCTAAGCTTATTACACTGTATCACATACATAAGAGAGGACTAAAATTCAAACTAGATGCATTCCTATGGACAGCCCATGTCAAATGCCAGCAAAGGGTCTTTAAACAGTTACTCACTTGGAAACTGTCTGGATGATAAATACATCCTTTCCTCTCACAGACTCCTGAATCTGCACTCTTGTTTCTGCCAAGAAGAAAAAGATGTCATATTTGCAATAGCAAAACTCAACAAGAGTCTAAGAAAAGGGGAGCCAACACATGCACAAACAGTTCTAGTTTTGCTAATTAAATGCTCACCTCTGTTTGGCTCTTGATAAACCTGAACCTTCCCCATCTCCACTCCCAAGCGCCTGCAGAGCAGAAGACAAGGAGAAGTCAATATGGGGAAAGGAAGGACAAAACAGATGCAAATCCCACAATGCAACAGTTTCTGCATTCCAGGCTCTTGCAAACCATGGTACTTTTCCTATGTAATTTTCCTTAAACAGAGAAATCAGAATTAATAAAATAAGACTGTACTTACTCAGCAATCCTCTTGGACAGTTCCATGCACGACGAATTGGAATTAGCTGAAAACAGCACCAGCCCACCCTTGGTGATATTCATGATGGCCCCAAATTCAGTTGATGACACACAAAACATCAACCCTAAGTTGTTTTTCCACTTCTACAAGACTGCAAGAGATAAAAGGTCAGTTAGAGCCACAATGTTAAAAACAAGAAACAAATTTTCCCTGTTTAGAAAGTGAAGAATTTCCCATGAGCCTGTATTTTCCAGTATCCTTAGTCCTTGTTTTCCCCACTTTAACAGCTTCCCTAGAGCTCTCCAAAAATCCCCCCTGAAAACCTCCTAACTTCAACAGGTTTTTCCCTATTTTGAGCTGTTTTCCTCAGGTTATCATCTAACAACAGAGATCCTCTTTTCCATCAGCTTGTCCAGCTCGTTTTCCAGAACTGAGCAAAGTTTATTGACTTTTCCAAGACCACAAAGCCAGTCAGGGGCGGAATGGAGCTGAACAGAGCTCCTGGGTCCTGCCTAGAAGAGTCTGTTTCCATAGCTGGGTCTCTTTTCATCGCTTTGTAATAAATGATAAACTTACAAATAGGGATGAAACGTAAGGAAGAGTTCAATAAAGCTGGCAGCTGTAAATAATGACCTCTTGCACAATGAATCCACTTGCTGAAGCAGCTGCTGTCATTCTTTGAGATTAATAATTCTCCTGTGAAAACAGGAGAAAAATATCACGAGGAAATCAATACAATTTTTTTTTTTTGTTTCAAATAAAGGCACAACCCACTAATCCCGCCAAGGATTTGATGGGCTTCCATCTTTTTATTACTCTTTGTAAATTACATTTTCCTGACTTCTTCTGCTGTAATATTTTAGTCAAATAAAATTTAAAAAATTAAAAAAAAAAAAAATGACATTGTCCAGCAGCCCCTGAGAGACCAAAGTAGAATTCAACTCAAAAAGTCCTGGGCTACTGCACTTCAGTCACTTCTGTTTAAGAAATATAATCCTTCATCACCCATTTTGGCATTATGTAGAGGATTGGAAATATTAAATATTTCCAATATTTATGAAATATTATGAAAGAAGTTACAGATAAATCAGTAACTTCTTTCCTGATAAACACCTCTCTGCTAAGAAACATAATTATCTAATAGTCATATGTAAGTTGATGGTTTATCAACTATTAAGTACTCCAAAATAGCAACTAAAAGAAAAAAAACAACCATTTTTGTATTAGAGGGACAGCTGGCTGGCTCTATAAAAAAACTCTTTATCTCATCTTTGCAATGAGACATTCTCTTGCTCAGGTTGATTTTGTCACAGAGGAACCTGATTCACTCTCACGAAGAGCCAGAGTCAAGCCAGGAACTCCCTAACAACAAATCTCTTGATGCCCAGGCTGAGCTCGGCTCAGCTGCTGTGAATGAAAACCTGCCTGTCATCAGAACCTCCAAAATGTGCAGACAGTGAGCACAAACAGCAATTATTTCAGCCTCAGAACACCTGGATGGTTCACTCCACTAGAACCAGGTGAGCCCCCCACACCTCAAAAGCCAGACCTGTATCCCTTCCAAACCAAGTGCCCAACAATTTAAGGATAAACCTAACTCTTAGCTAGTGTTTCTCTGTTCTGCTGCTCAGCTACTCTCTGCAACTCCCAGCTGTTAACTAATGGCCATCACCCATCAAATATTCATAACAGTGTTCAAGATCCACCTCGGCTCCAAAGAAGGCACGGACTAGAAACGCTTTCAAGGTCTCAGAACACCACCTGAGAGCTTTGTGTGGGAACCACGTGGATACAACTCTCCCTGTTACTAAAAGCATTCATATAGTGAAGGTAGTTATTTTTTTCCAATTGCGTGTCTTCTTCGTTCCATGGATTAGGGGAACGAGAAGCATTAAGAGATCTGCTGAAAGACAAGCGTTGCTGTTCCCAATTATTGCTCGAGGTGCATTTTACCCCATCATAAGATACTGATGGATTCAGCAACACTGAACGTTGCTCTTCACATAACCTTTAGCTCAAGGACTTTCTTGTGGTTGTACTTCAGCAGCTACAAGTGGGCCACGGTGTGTGTGGGAAGTTGCATTTAAAGAGTAACCAACCTTGAAACCGGTGTTGGGATGACAGCAAGCTGACAGAACTTTATTAGAATGTGCAAAGACGTGACTCCACATGGGTACGCGGGACCAAAACCCTCTGGTTTGAGGTGGGCAAGGTGTGGGAGAACACAGGCACCGCAGAGGCTGCAGCACCAACTCCTGCCCTGCCTTTTGGGCTGCACACAGTTACACAGACACACCACGATGAACACAACAACTACTGGGTACACATGGCTTTACACCTCCATGAACTGAGCATGTCCACACAGAAAGCAACAGAGGCAAGAATAACTGTATGGGATAACCATGGCACTAAGCAATGGATCCCCGTGGGATGGAGGGAACCTGCACCCTCTTGCCCATCTCCCCACAGGGAATTTTCCCGGCCCTCCACACTCACCTATCCCCCTGGGCTAAGGGACCCTTCCAGCCCATGCTTCCCTACAGTCCTTCAGCTGCTGCAGGTGGGCTACACAGGCCCTGTGGTCCCTGCGGACCCCATCCCTCCTTTCCTGGAGCGGCCAGTGCACATCGCAGCCCCACGCCGCTCCTCCTCACCTGAGGGGCTGCCGGGGAGCCCGAGAAGCCCTGTAAAGGGCCCGCCCACGAGAGAGTCCCCATCCCCTGAGGGCAGGGCGACGTAGCCCGTTCCTCAGGCGGCAGAACCCCGTGTGTGGGGAAGGGGGGATGTCCTGCCCACACGGCCAGCTGAGGCGGGCTGAGCGAGCGGGAGGGCCCCTCGCTTAAGGCCTTACCTGCCGGCTCCGGCCCCCCGGCCCCGGGAGAAGGCGGCCCGGCCGGAGGGGAAGGAGGGGGTGAGGCAGAGGGAGAGGCAGAGGCGGCGGTGGAGCTCAGCCCCTCCGGTGCTCCGCGGGCAAGATGGCGGCGGGGCGTGAGGGAGGGAGCGCGGGCGGGAGGGGCGGGCCCGGGGCGACGCCCCCCCCCCCACCCTTCCCTTCCCGCCACGGGCTCGAGCCGCGCTGAGGGGACTCGGCGCCATCTTCCCCCTCAGCCCCTCAGGGCGGGGAGATGTACTAGAACAGGATCATAAAATCACAGAACCACCAAGATTGAGAGAGACCTTGAAGGTCTTCCAGTCCGACCGCCAAACCCGCCACTGCCACTGTAGCCCCTGAATCATATCGCCCATCGCCAGATCCAGACGTCTCTGGAAAACACCCTCCAGATAGGGTGGCTCCACCACCTCTCCCTGGACAGCCCCGTTCCAATGCCTGACCACTCGAACAGTGAAAAAAAAAAAATAAATTTCTGGCATCTGATCTGAATCTCCCCTCTCTCAGCTTAATGCCGTTTCCTCTAGTCCTCACTGCATCACATGGTAGAAGAGACCAGTCCCCACCTCACTGCAGCCTCCTTTCAGGTGGTTGTGGAGAGCGATGAGATCCTGCCCTGAGCCTCCTCCAGGCTCAAACAAACCCTCTCCAGGTAAACAAACCCAGCTCCCTCAGAAAACACGTTTTCTAGACCCCTTCACGAGCCTCGTTGCCCCTTCTCTGCAAAAGAGAAGGGCACTTTCTGGGTCCCCATCTGGGATCGTGTGGGAACCTGAACAACAACGCCACAGTTCAGCTCCCACCCACCAAAAAAAGGCCCTTGGTGCAAAGTCCACATGGAATAAAGGAGTGGATGCCCGCAGGGTGCCGTGTTTCGGAGCTCCCACGACTGCAGCCCCGTCAGAGGGACGGATGGGCGGCTGCCACGCTGCTCTGGGCACCTCCATGGCCGTGGCTCATCCTCTCCATCTCTGCTGCTCCCTGTGGTACCATCTGGCCTTTGCCAGCAGACCCAGCAGTGTTCGTAGGGAAAGGGGCACTTCTGGAAAGTAAACCAGGAAAAGAAACAATCAGTGATGTCTCGGTTCCCTGTCACCAGCACACATCGTTAATCCAGAGCCCCTTTAATCAGGACTCCCCTTGCCACGCACATTGATTAAACTGCATGAAGATTCTTTTGACGTCTGCAGTGAGACTCTTATTTTAAACACCCTGTTTAAAAAAAAACCAAAACCAAACACAAAATCACTAGCTTTGTCCCAGGACACCCTTGACAAAACGGTCCTTTCACTGCTTTGAGGAAGTTACAGTCATCCCACACAGACATAGAGCGAATAAAGGTCCCTCCTTTAAATAAAACCCCAAACATCATGTTTTTCCCCCAACTGCATAGCTAGAACCTGTTTTAAATTATGCTTCCGAGATGAACAGTGTTTTATGGATCAGAATTTTAGCATTTACTATAAAGGTACAAATTAGGTACTTTCTGCTGCGGCTTTTCTCATGAAAAGCAATTAAACTTGATTATTCTTGGCCTGCAGGGTGCACTGGAGCAAAGCCTAGCATCCCAGCAGGTATTTCTGTCCACGCTGGCCTTAATGTGAAAGAGGCGGAAAAGCCACTGAACGGCTCACTTAAACATGCCTGCGAAAGGACAACATTAAATTCATAGTTTGAAACCATTACGAGCTGCATTTTCCACCTCAGTGTTTTTCCCTGTGTTTCACAATTCCTTCTTGCTTCACGCATTCCAAGGCTTCATCAATTGCCTCCTCTTTTTGCTTTTTTTCAGTGCCCTGGGAGCTGGGGAAGGGGAAGCCATTTAACCAGGAGCAGCTGCCAGATGTCGAGCGCTCCACTTGCAGGCTCACACAAAGCCAAGACATCTGTTTGAAATATGTGAGCAGAGAGGCCATCAGCCTCTTTGTGCCCTCATGAGAGATGCAGCACTGATCCTCTGACTTTCCTGCAGCCCCTTCCAAATTGCACTGGAGGGTAAGAGAAGAGACCTCTCCCAGCACCTCGCCACCCCCACCGTTCCCAGTCCACGTTTTCCTGTTTCCAGCCTGCTGCTTCCACAGTTGATTCGGGGTCACTGACCCCAGTAGGTTCTTCTTTTGTTTCAGGGCTTTTAGGACAAAAGGGAAGCGGTTTTGAGCTTTTTGTTGGCCTCTTCACAGAGCAGAGGAGATTTCTCTTGGCATCAGTCTCTGTCGCAGGGTTTCGCTGCAGGCCGCTGGGGCAGAGCAGTTTGATGCAGAGCAACTAGAAACGACACATGGTGAAGCACTGACCCGTAATGCAATTAGCAGCCTTCCCCAGAAGCATTTTTCAATACCCCAGGGCACCCAAAACTTGCTGACTGTTTGATTTGTGCTGCCCCGAATTCCTGACATTGCTCAAGCAAGCCACAGGATCAGGAACTAAGAGATCCTGTCTTCCGATCCTTTTTATAACGGTACTGCCTTTGTTTTCTTAGGGAAAAAAAAAAATAATCTATTTCTCAATTTCTCACCTCTGTTTTCCTGATCAGAGGAATGTGAGTTTAAATCTCATCTCCCAAGGGAGAGGGATTTGTTAATCTGACAATATGCTATCCAAACACTAAGAGTTTAACCAACAGTTGCTCCAAGACGAGCACACAGATTTTATTTCATTTACAATGATTCAATTAGCAGTCATCTAAGGAATGCTGAAAATCTGCTGGGTGTGAATACACTGGCTCACCGAGGTTTGTTGTCCTTAATCCAGATGTGACCCTGGCAAGCAGAAATGTGCAAAAAAAAAGCCCCCCCATACACACCTAGTCCAGCCAAGGTGAGGGGCACTGCTCATCCAGCACTTGGCTGCACAACAGCCTGCATCCATCACCTGAGAGAAGATAAATGCTGCTGTCATCCAGGCTCCTGAGCTCCATCCATCACTGCTCAGGCAGGTTGGCTTTTTTTTCCTGTTTGTTTGTTTGGGGTTGTTTTTGTTTAAAAAATGATGGATATTAAAACTCACCTACCAAACCACCTGACAGTGAGAACTATCAGACATGGCACACCAAAGAAACGCTCTGATTGGATCCTGAGAGAGGCCTGTGAGTAGGTTTGGTCTCCCCCAACAGAAAAAGGATCTTACAAGGCATTCCAAAAGCATCCTCTACCCTACCCAGTCCCTCTGAGCCCTCAGGGAGGTTCTGCAGCACAGACACCTCCACACTGAGCACAGCCCAAAGGCCACCACCTCCCTGCTCCCCTGCCCTTGGCTTTTCTGCCTGGGGAACAACTGAGTCCAGTTTCCAGAAGATTCTGCCTTGGATATCACCCAGCTAGGGAGGCAGAACTCAAAGTGGCTATAAAATGCATTTTGGAACAGAGGGAAGGAGGGGTAATTTTATCATGTCTTGGGATTGATCTGGAAATAGCATCCCCCACGTCTGAGAAGCAAAGTGCCTTAAAAAAGGCCCTGGAGCAGAGAACACGTCTTCTCTGTGTGAAGGGCTGTGGCTGTAGATAGCACTCATTGCTTTATCAAATATTACTGCTTGGCTGTCTGCAGAAAACAGACACCCACTCATCTGTCTCTGTCCTGTTTCCCCTGAGTCAGAACTTTGACTGAAGGACTCCCCGAGCTCAGTTTGTTTTCCTGTTTCCAACTGTGCTCCCAGTTCCGGGTCAGCCTGTAATGTTTAACATATCTGCCACACCAGCTCCAGCAGGACACAGGGTTCTCTCCAGCCAGCCTCCCAACAAAGAGATGAGGGGTTTGTGGGAATACCCGGTCCTGCAGACACACAGCTCGAGCTGGGTGCAAGGGTTTGGACAGACACTGCCCTGAAACAAGAGCCAGTGATGGCCGCTCCTGCTTGGTTCCCAGACCGTCTTCACTTTGCTGGGTGTGGGCAGCTCTGTCCTGCAAAGTCTGCATCACATCCTGTTCACATCCATCACCTGATGTTTGTGGCTGTGGTTTGCCCTTTGATTAGCATTTAGACGAAAGTGGTTGAACTGGGCAGTGAAGTCATGTCATTTTAAGGCAATTTGAACAGCTGCGCAGTTCGTGCCAAACACTGGTTAGTGCTCTCTGTTCCTCCCTGTCCTACCCACTGGCTCCCAGCATGGTTTGCCATTTACCTCACTGAGCTACAGCCCCTCTACAGAGAGCACCCAGGCATCCTGCCCTGTGCAGGCAGTCAGTGAGCACACAGGAAGGGCTCGAGTTGGTCACTGCAGAGCAACTTTGCAAATCAAAGCAGAATTCAGTGCAGGAAAGCAGGTCCTGTGCTTTGGGTGCACAACTTGGGGGTGTAAAGAAAAATTTGGTACCGGCCCTGCCCTGTACACTGAGCAGGGGCTGTGAGAGGTGCAGGGAAGGAGCAAATGTAACCAGCAAAGAGCCCCCTGTGTCTGCCTGTGCCAGCCAGGACCAGCCCTGGTTCAGGAAGAACAGGTTAAACCCTGTGCTGGGAGTGGGACCCTCACCCACCTGTTATGCCAAGAAAGGCTGAGCAGACCTGGGAAAGGCTCAGCCTATACCACTTATTCACACTATTACCAACATCTCTCCTGCCCAGAGAAGCCTTTTACCAATACAGATCCTCTAATTTGCCATATTATTTCCTGCCTGATTTCAGCAAGCTGTGGAAGTGGTTCTGCTCTCAGACCTCCATGCACTGTCTTTCCTTAACCTTATCTAACAAATCAATTCCCCAAGCTCAGGAGTGGGACACTTAAAGATTTTACTCACCAGGAAAGTCTCACCAGTGGAGAGGCAGGGGGACTGTTGGGCTTCCCAGAGGCTTTTATTGTCTCATTAATGAGAGCTTCCTCACCTGCTGCAGTCTCCCTCCCACTCATTTGTATTCACTATGGTGCTGCTGGTACTTTCAAGGCTCCCACTCCTTCCTCCCTCTCTCCTCTGAACTATTCTGAGCCCAGTTTCTATCTCCATGCTCCCATCCAGGTCCCAGGGAGAAAATACTTTCTCCTCTTGAGTTACCGCGTGCCATGTCCTCCTCGGCTGGTTCTCCCAGCTCCAGAGCCACCTGCAATAGTCTCTCTTCCAAAGCAAGGCAGCAACAGCTCCTGGTGAAATCCCTGGCTTAGATTCTTGCTAAAAT